ATCAAAATTTCAATTAGTTAATTGTCGATGCCAACAGGAAGAGAATTTTCCGAAGATTTGAAACGAATGATGTTTCGCATTATTTTGTTTTTGAATAATAGAGAGTATATGAAACGTCGTAAATCAGCAGTCATCGCTTAGATTGAAAAAACTGTGACATCTTCAAAGTAAGATCAGTCTTTGGTTCTTTTTATGAACTTGTGTCCCCTAACGTGGTCTATCGATTGGTGAAAACTGCAGCTCTCTAGCCAATTGTATTCTTGAGTTATTCGAAAAACAGTGGAGCACACTATATTTTGAAATGGGCAGTAGTATAGCACGAGGACGATGGTATGGAATAGCATTAACAATGTCATTAGAAAATCAAATATTTATTATTCCATCAACCGTTTCTATACCATTACGAGGAGCAACTATTGATGAATTTATTAGCAAAAAGACGAAAAACCTGACTCAGCAGTCTATACTGTTACTGATGAAAATGAAACGTCCACTGGCAATAAATGTACAGTTCAAACTATTACTCTTCGCCGTCGACGAGATCTTATAAACCTCGAACCTTAGATCATTATTTCAAACCAGAATTCATTCATAACGGTTCATCTTCTCCTCGGAAAAGATTACTTTCAAAATCAAAAGATGTTGCTCGAGTAGTCTCATCGGATAGTTTCGACTTTGTAATCGAGAGTGAGGGTGAGTCAAAGCTACTGTTATCGCGATTTCGACCTTGCTTAGGGGTCTCATCAGACGGCGTTGTAGTTATACGTAGATTGTGTTCAGATGATCCGAAGATCATAAACAAGATTTCTATATATAGATATTCTTATATAGATGAGTAGATCGAAAGACTATATCCTCGTCGGTCGTCGGCGGTCCTTCGCAAGGTCGCTTCCGACTCGGCACTTTTACACTCGTCACTCGGTGTTTTTCTATCATTCGTAGAACACTCCTCGAAAAGACTGTGACGACTTTCTTGCTCATCAAGGTTGGACAGACAACGAAGGCCCTAAAAGGACATGAAAGCACCAGATATATTTTCAGTCACAAGAAACTAAGGAGATGGTTGACTTGTCCTATCATGGTTTGACGGTCTCATCAAAGTGGATGACCCATGATTCGGTTCTTTTCCTTTGATGTACAATGTGTGATATTAAAAAACTATGTTGCGGACAGACAGACAAATGCTTTCTTTACCGTTTTGCAGACTCTAGTCTCTTCAGTCCCGGGAATAATTCGATTGAAGATCGTGATTTTATTTTTTCTTGATTGAGAAGAAACAAAGTAAATCACCTCGCTATTAAAAGCTCCTAACATTTTAGAAGCCCTCCCCTATTTGAAGCTCCGCCTTGGTGAATCGACGCAAACGACATTTACAAGCCCTCATGGATGTCAATAAAATTGAGAAAACTTTGTCGGTTACTCGAATTCATCCTTCAGTAGTGATGGTTGTCTTCCGATGATAGTAAATAGAAAAACAGAAAAAAACTTGACTATCTCATAGCATGATTATTCGTTCGATCTCACAACGATGCCTTTATTTCCAGTACAGAATGATCAAGACGCAGAAGAAAATCGAATCGAAATCCGAGCAAGAATTGCAGAAGAGCATGTCCGGAAAACACTACTTCAAACCAAAACATAAGCAACGCTCGATCGGTTTTGGCAGAAATGGTTCATTGTGTATCTTTATCAACAGTCTCTCTTTCTCTCCCTAAGTTTCTTCGTATGTGTTTTACCTGCCTTACTGGTTGATACTTTCCATGCTTTTGTTTCATATCATTTTGTGTGCAGGTATGCAGCTATAAAATGAAATAGCTTTTCATGAATTTCATTTATTTTTCTTTTGCCACTTCAAAGAATAACGTGCTTCAACATAAGGAATTCGACTCTCCTTTTATTTGATCACTTTTTTTTGTAAGACTATATCGTAAAGTCCCCCCCTCCCCCGCTGTTAAAAGCCCCACAGGGCTTCTAAAATATTTTTTATTCCAAGTTTTGAAAGAGGGCTTGTATTATAAGGAGGCTTCTAATGGATTGTCTTCGTAGATTAGTGCAAGAAATCCATCCGTAGTACGTTTCCTTTGGATACTTCACTTCCACATAGACTAAAACCGTTATTTGGGGCACTAAATTTACGTTGATTGAGAAACATTCAAGTACCGCTAGCGATAAGGACGTTGTGTCCAATTATCTTTTCTTACATGAGATCAATGAACAAGCCGGCTATATATGAACATCGATTCTTTGACAGTGTCATGTCCAAACCAATTCAGCTTCATGCATCTCTGATGCCGTAAACAATCAGAATTAATTACAAAGATCCTCGGACATCATGGGCAAATGTGACTTCGATGATCTATTAAATTGATCAATGAATATGAGAATCTATGATTTGAGATAGCCAAGTTTTTTCTATTTTTCTAATATCATCTGGTAATATTTGTCACTACTGAAGACTGAGTTTGAGAAATCGACAAAGCTTTTCAATTGTATTCCCTAGACTGTAGTCTAGGGTCTGTACGACGGTAAAGAAAGCATTTTGCTGTCTGTCTGTCGGTCTGTCTGCAACATACTTTGAAGACCACCACTGGCCAAGTAGCTTTTTCGGACCCGATCACGAGAGTCTTATCCGCCTTGAAAAGAATGAAATTCCTTTCAATCTCTCTTTGCTGATTTTCTCTCTTCTTCTTCGATTATTTTGGCGTCTCTTTACTGTTCTCACTGGCTCATTGATCCATTCCGATCAACTGTCTTAAAGGCTTGACTTCTCAACCATCATAGTCCTGCCTTTTTTGTCACTTATGATGGCAATGATTTTGAGCACGAGCTTTTCTTTTGGCAACGATGTAATGGTTGATTGTGTCGCTGTGCACATAAATCTACGTTGAGAAGCTTTCAGAGTCAGAATGCCGAATAAGAATCGAATGACGACATATAGGAAGAATAATGTATAATTGTCTTTTATCTCAGAAATCAACAATAAAGGTTCGCAAAGAGTACCTAGGCTTTTTATGCTCAAACACGGAATTTTAGTAGAAAAAAGATCCTATTGGGATAGAAAACAGGCATTTTCTGAAGATGTGAAGCATCGTAGAAGATGCTTTGGAATTTGTCACATGGGAATGAAAGATCATTTCGTCTGAGGGGATACAGACTCAGTCTAGGGACGAGTGGATCGGGAACCGATGCACGTTACTTGTTAACATACAAGGGGGCTTGTAAATGTCATTTGCGTCGATTCATCAAGGCGGGGCTTCTAATAGGAGAAGGCTTTTAACCTGTCAGGGGCTTTTAATAGCGAGGGGGGTTTACTTCCTTAACCCTTTCACGGCGATGGGGTCCACCGGTGGATCCCACTATATTTTAACAGGAAATTGAATTGGAAAATACTTTTCTCTCGTTCATTCTTAGGGAGGAGGTTAAGTGTAAGTTGTGATTTACTCTGCCATCGTTATTTTCAAAATAATTCCCTCGACTGCAAGGAGCAGAGATGCACGGGGCAACGAATTTTCCCTCCCCGCGGGCCCCGCCTCGTGACTCCCATTCCCCCCGACCCCGAAGGAAATTTTCTAAAATCATCCCCGCCCGCTCGGGAAAATTTTTTCCGCTGCCCCGACCCACCCGAGACCGTTTTGTTCTTTGCTATATGCGCCTCGCCCGACCCGTGAGATTTTACCACGGGCCCGATCCGTCCCCGTCTGCCCCGTGGAAAATTTTTCAATCACAAATATCGTTTTATTTCCCGAAAGAAATCATAATTCTCTCGAACAGACATCTTTTATACATTCAACTCTTCTTCCAACGATCGGCAGCCGATCGAACAAGGATAATATCATTAACAGTCGATGGACTGAGGTTTGTTCTTCGTTGAGAAATCACATTACCAGCTGAACTGAATGTTCTTTCGACAGCTGTCGATGATGCAGGGATACTAAATACTCTCCTGGCTAATTTGGTCATATGCGGCAATATTTGCTTTTGTTCTTTCCAGAATAGAAGAGGATTGTCATTCTCGTCATCTAATGCTGGATGGTTAGATAAGTTCATTTGTAAATAAATTTCCATCTCGCGACGAGAGCCCATTCCGGCAGTAGAAGTTTTGCTGAGTTCAGCGCCGTCCAAGTCATCGTCAAATTGAGTTGTGAACGATTTGAATTTCTTTTTGGGCGAAGGTGAAGGATTCGTGTTGCTTAGAACTTCATTTGATTTGTGGTTTTCCGCCGTTTCCATCTCAATAATCTTTGCCAGTTCAGAGCGAACCAGTCCATGAGCGTATGCACGCTCGCAATCAGTGGTCAGTTTCAGATTTCGAGTGCGAGGATTCAACACAGCTGCAATCCAGTGCATGTCATGCAGTGAAAACATTGCTTTGAATAATTGTCGAGCACGTGTCTTGAAAAACACAACCCTTAGAACATAGAAAACCTTCTTTCTGTGGGCTTTCTCGAACAAACCACTCACCTTTAGCTGCTTTATCTTTCGTTACTGCGAAACTCTCCAGGATGTACCAGTAAGAAATCATCACGAGATGAAGAGATGGACTATTTGTCATCTGAACGCGTTCCATCACGTGTTTCCATGGTTTGAAAAAACCGACAAGAGTAGCCACTGTTGAGACATCAATCGACGGCAGAGTATGAAGAGTTCCTTTTTCACCAGCAATGCTCGTTATTGCCGAGTGAGATGCGAGTAAGCTTTCAAGTAACTGGGACATGGTTAGCCATCGAACAATGATCTCTTGTTTGATGGTCGGCTTTCCTAATTCCAATAGCAATGGATTCCAGTTCACCTGCAACGAGGAAAAAATCAGACGTCGGCATATACGACAGGATCATTGATTGATGGAAAATCTCACTCGTTTGACATAAGCACACAATTGCATCGAGTAATGGTGATCAACATTTGACTGGCCTGAGTTGGTAATTTGTCTTCGGGTACATTCACGTGATCAGATTCAGGCGATGATGAAGACAAACTCCGAAGTACTAATTCGCCACTCTTCGCGTCGAGAATCACTTCATCGTCGGTATCACTGCTGGTAGAGTCTCTGTCATCGTAGTCCGAGAGAGACTCATCATCGTGATCAGTTTGACGAAACTGGTCGGCCGGATCAATAGCAACGGTTTGTTTCTCAGGCATTGGTTTCCTCTTTCTACCGAGAATTTTCTCCTTCGTACCAGCACTGTAGAAGGTCCGCTTCAGGACATTGTTAATCCGATGTGGAAAGCAATGCATCACCTTGTAATCTTCCAATGCTTTGACCAAGTTACTTCCACAGTCACATACAAAGGTTATCTTGTCCATATAGTCGCTCAAACCGAATTGAGACAAAGCAGCAACGATTGCCTATTGTGAAAAAACAAGTAGAAAAAATAATCTCAAAGTTCGATCGTTTTCTGACCTTGAGAACGCTGTCGGCACGTTTATTGACTTCATTGTAGGGTTCACAACAAAGGTCAATGGAGGACAAAACGTACTCGTTATTTGTGAAATGACCAGTGATTCCAAAATAACTTGTTTGCCGAAATCGATCAGTCCAAAGATCAGGACTGATGGCCAAAGCACCGTCTTCGGCTGCTTGAATTAACTGTACACTTAAACTTTGACGAATTTCGCTCGCTTGACAACTGATTTCTCGCTGAATTGCTGTTCTCGATGGTAAAATATCATTTGTTTTTCCGCCAAAGTGTGGATCTAGAAGCAAATGGAAAATGTTCAACAAGAACTCGGTGCCAAGTGTTGGTTGTCACCGTTCCACATCAGACACTGTTGAACAACCTCCACAAAACCTTGATCTCCAACAATACTAATAGGTCGCATATTTTGGCATATCCATTTGGAGATTAAAGAGGTCAATATCTTTTTCTTCTCTGCATAGTTTCGATTACTCTTCAAAATCACTGACGGTGATTTCATCCTAGATAACAGAAATACCATGGATGTTTCAGAAAGCGATGATCAACTGACCGAAAAGGAGACTGAGATGGTGATGGGGACTCTTTAGGACATTTGTGTGCATTCAATGATTTGGTCGATCCATATGTGTACGCGTATGTTATGTAACAAGATCGGCATGTCGCAAATTTGTCAAAAATGTTCAGCTGATTATTCTCGTCTTTAAAGGCCGGAAGAGCGAATTGAGTCCAGCACTGCGATGGCTTGGCAACGTTTGCCTTCCGATTATCGACCAATACATATTTTTCTGGTTGCTCTTTGAGAAGTGTTTTGATATTCAATGCATTGTACCTGCCCGAATCAGTTGAACCATGGGAAGATGGAGGTAGAACACCGCTGTTTGATGATCGTTTGGAAGTTTTTGATGAAGATTGATCATCGGCAGAATCTTCGGTGGATAAGTCGAGAAGATGAATCATTGGTTTCAATATTCTTCTCTTTTGCCCATGGAAATCGAAATTGACTATAGTCTTCAGAGAGATATCTCAGAAACAAAGGATGTTCAAACTTCTGCTCGATTGGTTCAGAATGAACAACCAATAAATATCTTTCTGTGTACAATTCGTGTATTAACGCCATCGATCGAGAATCAACCAGGTCCCACGGAGTTTGTAGTAAATTTTCATGCCCTGCCCGCCCGAGCCCAGTGTTGTCAAAAAAATTTCTTTACCCGTCCCGCCCGTAGGCCAGACGACAGCCGACCCGCCCGCCCGTCCACGCGGAGCCTCGCGGGCCTGTGGGTCAATCCCCGTGAACCGTGCATCTCTGGTAAGGAGGGTCTAGCGAAAAAAAAGTTTGTGTGTGTGTCGGTTTGTCGGGGTCAAAGGAACATTGAAATCTGATTTTTCACAAAAATGCATTTCTATAAGTTTCTCGATGCCGTGAACTCGAATCCGAGTGCTATTCCGTCGGAGACAGTGTTGAGGGGGGAGGGGTGTAACGGCCGCTTGCCGTTACATATTTTATTTTCTGTCGCTTGAAAAGTTCAGAAACTTCTTCTATGCGCTCTTTATATAGATAGAGTGAATTCAGTTAATAATTGATTTTTATTATTATTTTGTTTCATAGTGACGCGAAATGTGGAGACACATTATCTTCGTGTCGAGATTTCATAAAAAATATCAGTTTTTCTTCTTCTTCAAAATATCTAAACTAAAATTTTAAACTTCTTCTACTTCTTCTCTCATCTTAAGAGAAGAGAAATCAGTATCATCATCTCCAATCGTCTTCTTCTTCTTTTATCATACAAAGGAAGAAGAAATACTACTATAACTTTATAACTAAATCTCACATTAAGTTTATATTTAGTATTCTTTTAAAATTATAAAATATAATTTAGTGTTTTCATTTGCATTACTATAATTTCGTTCTGCGCTCCTTCTCCTCATCAACTTTCGTCAATTGAAGAGAAGCCGATTATCA